GCACAATGCTCATAGTGTTTAGTGAATTCAAAATGTACAATAAACTTAAATCATTCCACACTGATTCCAGAGGCATTTCATAAACTATTTTGGTGCTTATCTCTTTTATCCAAAATCTGATGTTAAGTTACCATGGAAACAATGATATTCACACAAATACTAAAATTAGTTTGATATATGGTACTAGTTACAGCAACACATTATAATGAAGTAATGTTTAAATAGCAGTTGAGTTCCTATGGAATTGTTACAACAAATGAAACCTGTAAGTAAGTAATAATGATAAATGCAATAACAGTGAGAAACAGAGAATTGCTGGCGCACTAAAAAAAAATGTGACATGTAGGTAATGCCCAAAAGGTTAACCATATTTGTCAAGGAGATATTGTTGCCAACTTTACTTTAACTTGTTTGTTTTTATTGAGTGCTACTGTCCTTCATGCTACCCCCTCATTGTGTATAATTAGAAAGTGGTCTACAATTTGAAATTGATTTTTATAGTTCTAGACCACTTGCAGATGAAAAGCAGGCAAAAGAGATTATTGCTTAATAAACACTTTTAAAGGAAAATATGGGAGAATGGTCGAACGTATAAGGCACAATGTTTCACTTACTAGACTCTTTAGAAATGACCTCACCATACTCTCCAAAGAGCAAAACAATTTTTTCAAAGGGTCACCAGGGCAGTTTAGCTCTGAGGCTGACTGTATTTTGAGTCACTAGGGAAGTAAATTCATTTTTTGTGTAATTCCATTGGTGACAACCTTTTGCAGGAATTTAGGGGATCAGTAATACTATCCCACAGCCTCCATTAACTTGTTTTTTTCCCAAAAGTAAGTAACTTCATCCCTGTCTCCAGATTTTGGGGGAAATGTACAGTGTGTGCACAAAGCATGACTGGCTGTATCAGAGAGGTAAGGTGTGCAAGAAACAAAACTTAAAGTGGAATGAGATTCCAGAGCTGCCCAAATTTTTATTCTTCTTCAAAACCATTGCTAAATGTTCTGAAATCTATAATACATTGCTTCCTATATCATTCTTTTAAATCATGTCAGTTAAATCTGGGGGGCAAAGGGGAGTCAAGCAGTGGTCTAGCTGCTCTCCAGGGTACACAAAAATGACTCAAAGGCCACTTTTTTCACAAAGACTTACTGACATCCATTCATTTTAACTAAGCTATTTATTAATTACTTTCTTTCAAATAGCACAGCAACACAAAAAAACTAACATCCATTCAAATGTTATAAATCTGCAGGAGAAAAGAACAGAGAAGAAATTACCATATTTTTCTGCTGAAAATGGTTGTGAATACGTACTGTCAGCCATGGCAATTTTTAGATACAGAGCTACTCTGTGTGATACACAGGAACTCTGTGGTTCCATATCCACAACAAACAAGTAGATTGAAGCCTATAATCTGAAAATCACTGGGACAAACTCATCCCATTCATTCAATATGCACGCACACATCCACCAACCTCGTACAGAAGTGACAGAAATGTCTTCACTGACACCAGATTGCTTGCTACTGTAGTTTAGGCTCAATCTTCATCATGATGAAATCACTGGGATTTTTTCCATTGGTTTCTCTGATGCAGTGTAGAGTTAAATGCTGGAGTTCTTAGGCAAGCAAAACTCCCATTTAAGTGGGATTTAGCCTACTGACAGGTCTGACATGACCAATGTCCCTACAGCACTTATCTCTTATTAGTTAATAGCAGATATTTTCACAAAGCCAGTCAATAAGTAAGGCAGTATTTATAGAGTGGTGTTTATTTTATGCCTGTCTGCCAAGCATATCACAATACCCAAAAAACCACTGTATTTCTACATGTGTCTTGGGAGGAGGAGGAAACTTTATTGTCGTTGGTTTTTCAGTGGGGTTATTAAACCATCAGTCTGACAGTAAAAGCAGATTATTTGACCATTATTTTTAATAATTTTGGGGAGATTTGTTGACTCAATAGCTTCAAATAAACATTCTGTAAACCAACTGGACTATATCATTAAACCTTTTTCCTCAGCACCATTTAAAACCAGATTAGACATAGCACAAGAGAACAGAAATAATTTGACTGACTCTTGCAATCCAGTCATTAGGCAGACTTAGCCCTTTTTTATTTTTTCTGTTTTTGTGAATTGCCTGCATACAGATCACTATTTTTAAAAATCTGTTTGTTTGATGAATGGTTTATGGGAATACATTCTTATCTATAGAGTCTGCTGATGAAAAGTTTGTAACAAGTATTCATTCAATTAATCATCTAATTATTCAATATTTGAAATTTGTTTTTCGAGCTCAATTATTTGCCACCTGACTCATATGGTATTGCTTCTATTCCCCTACTGGAAGACCTAAACTTTATAATTTATTTCTCCCTGAAATGAATTTCTCATTGTTGTTAATATTGGCTACAACCGCTGAATTTTGCTGCCTTTGAATATTTCTGTGAACAAAATTTTACTTGTGAGAATATGCTCCAAATGCAAACAGAAGATGAAAATGTAGCTGAATGCAGTGTGGCCAACTCTCACAATTTTATCGCAAGTCTTTGGTGTTTAACTTTTAAAGCCCCAACTCATGGAGATGAGCGAATAGTTGAGGATCTCAGCTTTCATGTTAAAATTAGTAAGATTCTCGCTCTTGTGATTGCTGAGGAAATGACTCAAATGCACCCTAGATGCTTCAAAATCCAGAAGGAAAATAAAACAGCCCAAAATTTGTTGGTTGGTTTAAAATTCATGGGGTTTTTTGTTTGTTTGTTTTTGTTTTTTTTAAATCATTATTTGGGGAGCCTGCCTCGTGATTTTAGATCATGTGAATTTGACAATACTGTGCACGTTCAGTTTTTTTAAACTGTTATCCGCTCTCTAGTTGGGTGGGAAATTAGAGGGAAATCCTACACTGGCAGAGAGGTAGACTAGGTAGCTTAATACAGTTCCCAAAATCTTCTCTCCAACAATAAAAAAAAAAATGGGTATGCCCTTATGTATATATGTATGCATGCATGTATACCATCCTCATTTCTGAATGTCAGAAAAATACTTGGCCAAATTCTGTCTTGATTCCTAAGATTTCATGCAACCCTATTGACTTTAGTAGTATTTCACAGAGTGCAGGGCAGAATTTGCCAACTGTGATATATGCAGGCCATAGAATGGAAGCATAGACCACACATGCCACTATATTCAGAAATTTTACATTTTTAAGGTTGCATAAGTTATTGCCCTTAAATTGCTGGTGAGGTAGGCCCCTTGGGGATAAAAGTATCGCAGATCAATGAAAATAACTTTTTTTTTTAATGTGTTGATGTACTGACAGCTGGTAATTGTTTAAGTTTTTGAAGCTAGGTTTTATAAAACAGTTACAGTGTGGAGTATATTGTAGTGTGGAGTGCTTCCTAGAAAAATGCTATAGCTTGTTGTTTAAATAATCTGGACTTTTTACACAGTTCATGGTTAATCAAAGTCACTTATACCCAGATGATTAAAAGAGAAAGTAACAGCCACCAAATTTCTGTGTCTCTTCTTTTTTATCTGACACATATGTTGATAGTTTGTTTCATAAAACATGTATGGGAGTGATCCAACTACCCTGTCACTGAACAGTAGAGTTGAAAAATTGTTTAGAGTGAATTAAGTAGCATTCTGTTCTACCAAAGGCTTCTGTTCACAGCCCTCATAAAAAGAAATAAAGTAAATATAACCCACAATATTCTATAAAAATGGTTTTGAACAACTGCAGAGTCACTACTCCAAGCTATAATTTTTTGGACTCTTTTTGCAGAATATTGTGGTATCTTTGTAAAAGGCTTGCAAGACCTCTGACTCTTAGCCCCTGATCCAATGCTCATCGGAGGGAGCCTTTTCACTGATCTCAGTGTACTTTGGATCAGGCTCTTAACTAACTGGATTATTTGACCCTTTCATTCCTTTTTCTAGCAACAGCAAGCATTGTACAATACAACGCGCTCAGTCACTCATTGATAAGCAAATTTGTTCCCTGAGATATATTTTGGATGTTACACTATGCTGCCACAACCCCAACACAGGAATACCCTTAGATATTTGCCCAATAATTTAACTCATCTTTAATTTATGGTAAGGGCCCAAGCATTCACTCTAGTAGTAAAGTAATGGCAAAGAAGTGAGAGATCTTTGTTCTAGCTTTTGGGCCCCAGTAAAAGATAAATAAAGGCTTGCTCTATGCACAAAGGCTTCTAACAGTGAATGCTTTGAATGTTCTGCCTATTTAATTTTTCTGCACAGTATAGGTGTTCACCATTCCACACAACATGCAATGTTAGGAACACCACCAAACTCATTTAGCAACATAAAACTTTTACTGTTCAGTGTGTAAAACGATTTGTCCCTGGTGGCACTAAGCTTAATGACACTGTCAGTAGCACAGAGTTGGCAATGAAGTAACCTACATGGGTAATTCATCCCAAATGGGGAAGCAAGGATACACATGAGGTTTTCATTTCAGTTACTGCCTATCTACAATAGAGGAAACACTAACCCGTCTGAGAGAGCAGCTTGATTTTATCGTGTGATCACATCTCTCTGAACTCCTCTCAGAAGAATGGGTTGCTACATAAATGTCTTATGCAAAGCTGCATACCTGGGGGGGAAAGCTTTAATGAATGATTGATAAGAAGTCATCCATGCTGGGGCCAGGGTGCAAGATAACAGAACAGTATTGATAAGTCCCAAATTTGTCTTCATAAGAGGAGAAGTCTTTTGTTAATGACCTTCCTGCAATGGAATCAGAGCCTTCACTTCCCTGCAGTACTTGATTACTTGTGGAGACGCTTCAGAATCCTTGAGTCTAATTGAAAAGACAGTTTGACGTGATACTTAACAGGAGTGTGTTTTTGGGAAATACTCTAAGGAGAGAGAAACAGCAGGGCTCAATGGGTGCACATGAAACTATGTCAAGGTTACAGTTACATAATTTACCTGGTAGCATGTGTAAAATATCCAAATAAAAGCACAGCTGTAAGAGAATTGAGAAAATTCTCAGTTTATTACATCTTCAATTCAAAAAAGAAAATTGGTGTCTTCACAAGTTACTGCCATGTTAGTTTGGGTTCTTACTTAAAAAAGTTAATACTTGCTAACTTTTGGAACACCTGTGACTTCCCAAAGTATGGTGGAAACACATTACTTGAGTAATTTAAAACTTTATTATTAATCATGTATATTACAATATTGCCTAGAGGCCACAACGAAGATTGGGGCCTATTGTGCTGTGCACCATACAAATAATGTACACATACTAAAAGACGGTTCCTGCCCAAAACAGTTTACAATCAAAAGAAACAAGACAAACTAAAGAAGTATTACTATCTCCATTATATAGCTGGGGAGACTGGGTTATGGATAGATTAGGTGACTTGCCCAAGGTCAGAAAATCTGTGGCAGAGCCAGGAATTGAACCAAAAACTCCTGAGTCCTAGTCCAATGGTAACAGGAAGGTCATGTGCCAGCAGAGGCCTTTAGCAGGGGTGAAACACTGTTAGCTGCCATAGTTACTTACAGAGTAATATAGTAATTAGAGATACTAATAGAGTTTATGGCCTTTAGCGATAAAACCATCCTTTCTCATAAACACATGGCTGGACGAGGCACTCAGAAACCATTGCAGGATTGTTTCCTGACACAAGGTTCTACGACATGAGCTTAATAGGCTTTTTCCACTGAAGTCCAATGGGAACTGAAGGAACTCAAAAGTTTTCAGGAGGAGCTCAACTCCTCACAGGGTTGAACAATTAATGAGGATTATATCCAGGTGATAGAACACAGACATTTGCTCCAATTTTGTTCTGACTTCATTTACATCCTTGCATGTTGGATTTTCATGTAGTTTAACCATAAAGAATGTCAGAAAGCTGTTTCCTCATTTCAGTTATGCAATACTGCAATTTAATGCACATCTTGGCAAGGTAGGCTGGAAAGAGACCCAACAGAGAAAGTGAAAACAAGGTATGTATTAATCCAAGCAAGCTTGCATATGTATTATCTTGAAATAATTTCGGAAGCTTTAAAAAATTTGATGCAAGGTTTAAGACGCCCTCCAACATCTCTAATTTATGTGGCTGGTACTTATAATGCTGATCTAGTCGGTTTCCACTGCCCTTGGAAGAATCCAAGAGGTCCATATTTCACCCTTTTAGGTTATTTACTGTATAGCAATTTTATCAGATTTTCAGAATCTGTTGCATACAGATTTTGTACTTCTGCATGACAACTATCTTAGGTGGTATGCTAAATTTCATTCCATTTGGCTGTTCTATACTATACTATAACCGCATTCTTTTTCTGCAATATGTTTTGGATTTTGAGAAACATTTTACTCCCTGCCAAATTGCCTTATTACCCTGCAATCTAAATGTTAGCCTGAACGAAGAATAATACTTAGTTTAATTGAAAATGTATAGACCAAAAGTAAGACACCATATTGTGTATATACAGAAAAATCTCAGATGAATGGATAGTTTAAGGGCTCTGTAATAGGATATGGAAGATTTCACCTCTAGGTCTCAGATTTGGGTCTGAATCAATTTGAAAGTGAGCAAGTCATTAACATCTGATGCCTGTTTTATTGCCCTTCTGGAATTACTTGGTGATTTCAGTCTAGAGCCTAGTCAATAGGTGTCAACACCCCAAAAGAGCCCACAAAAGTGATATTCATGACAGTCTTACTAGCTGCTATGTGTAAGGTAAAGAACTGAATAGTTATAGAGGCTGAACTCCTTCTCCTCCATTAGGGTTTGATCCAAAGCCCACTAAACTCAATGGAAGAAGTCCCATTAATTTAGGTGGGCTTAGGATCAGGTCTTAGGGCCTGTCCACACCACAGCTCCGAAGTGAGTTTGTACCCAGCTACTGGTGTGGATTACTTTTGAATATGGTGTACGCTCACATACCACATAGTTATTACTCAGTTAGTAATTGTGGGACCTAACAGTGTTTCCCTCTTGCCAGGGACATGTCTGTTGGCACATGTCCTTCCTGTACCATTTCAGCATGCTCTTAGTGGTTTTGGTCTGGCAATATAAACAAACTCCTAACTGTGCCTGTGTCAAGTGTTTGGCCAGTCCTCCCACCTATTTCCCTTTGCTGTTGGAAAAAAGAGAATACATTGCTTTAAACACTGCTGAATAGCTCCAACAGCTTGTATGTCATCCATGCACTGTACCATGCTGAGGCAGTATGGTATAGCATCCCACATTTTCTCTGGATCTACTGATACACACATGGTTAAGCTCTGGAGTAGGTTTGGATATACAAATACTGTTCAGTGAAGCAAATAAGCTGTAATGTAGATGCAATTTAAACTGGGCATGTTGTAACCAGGTCAGATGTCATGAAGTAGTTCCAAAATACAATTGTGGACAGGATCTTACAGGTGTTCTCTCCAGCTGGGATTGGAGAGATGGTGTTACGGGAAAGGTTTTTGGTCGCATGGTTCCCAGAACTGCATCTGTTCTGTGGATAAATAGAAAAGTTCATTTTCTCCAGCTGTCAATCCATCACTTTTTAATGAGCACTAAAGCCACTTATGGCTGAATGTGAATTTTAAAAAGCAAAGAAATTACTTTAAGGAAGAAAAAAATAACCGTTAGGTGTGATGCATGCTCTGTTCTCAAAGGCATAGGCAACTAACCAAACTTTCTTTCATGTGCCCCTTTGCTTCTACATATCAGAAGGGGCGTTACAGTGCATTCCACCTCAAACTGTGGATTTTCTTGCTTCTGTTTTGTTCCATCAAAACCTAAGTACTCTGTCTAAGGTTGATGGTTTGGGGTTTTTTTGTTTTTGGTGGTTTTTTTTGTTCTGTCTGTCTGTTTCTTCGTTCGTTTCTGTTTTTATTTGTTCTTTTTCTTTCTCTGTGTGACTACATATGAATATAGAGCTAAAAAAGAAATTATCTGTGGAGCAGCTATCTGTTTTCCATAAGGCTGAAGCTATGTTCTGGTTATAAGTACAGTTTCGTCCCCTCCAGCAACTTTTCCCCAAAAGAACCAATCCTCCTGAAATGTCACGTGCCACATCTCAATCCAGAGTACAGCTTTTTGGGGAAGTTGGCGGGTGAGACCAGAGAAGGAGTTTCAAGCTTATTTTTAAAATGTCCATCTGTCAGTATTTTAGAGTGTATGTAAATGTGAAATAAACATACTTAATATGGGTGAGATTTCCAAAGCTGCTCGTTGTTGGGCCTAAATCTGCTCCCAATTAAAGCAATGGCTCTTACTGGCTTAAATGGGAGGAGAGGCCTATAATGAGTGCTTTTGACAATCTTATTGCTATAGTAACATAATCCATAAATCATACTGCTACTAGGGTGAACAATGGTTCAGTAAATGACGCCTTTTTAAAAGTCACCTTCTGTTGTATATTTTTTTTAAAAAGTAAACAAATGAAATAACTGAGAATTACAAGTCAAAAGAATCATAGAATATTAGGGTTAGAAGAGACCTCAGGAGGTCATCTAGTCCAATCCCCTGCTCAAAGCAGGACCAACACCAACTAAATCATCCCAGCCAGGGCTTTGTCAAACCAGGCCTTAAAAACCTCTAAGGATGGAGATTTCACCACCTCCCTAGGTAACCCATTCCAGTGCTTCACCACCCACCTAGTGAAATAGTGTTCCCTAATATCCAACCTAGACCTCCCTCACTGCAACTTCAGACCATTGCTTGCAATTTGTGAATACTATCACAGGAGAAACTCCTAGCTTTGCTATTTCTCATCTGAATATTTACTACACCTAGACAATGTATGTGTGCCAGAGACTATGATTTTTGTTGGTTTTATAAGTAGATTTTTACTAAGAGAAAAATATGACTCATTGTTTAAATCTATATAGATAGCTATACTGTTTAAAATAGTCACATTGGTTGGGGTTTGAATTATTCCAGTTTACTGAAATAATGTTTGATATATTGGCTAGCATTTTGCTCGGCCAATGACATTCTAGCAGTCACTATAATTCATAGCTGAATGAAATGACCTGATTAGAACCAGAGAAATAAGGTAAAATATTTATATATTAAAAAAAGAAAGAAATCACCTGAAACTCCAGAACACTTTGTCTATTAAACCTGGTGATCTTTTCACTAACCTCATCCCCATATTTTTAGCATTGCTGCTCTTCATAGTTTGACTATTGAACACACAACAGAACAAAAACCTGAGAAAAATCACATTGCTCTGTTTAACACATCTGACTTGCATTTCAGCTCATAACTATAGCTGTTCATAACTGTCTTTCCATAAAATGTTTTACTGTACACATCTCCAGGTCCAAAGGATTTATTTTTCTTAGATCCCTATCTGAGGAAAGTTTGGCTGATGGCTAACACATATAGCTGTAATGTCTTCTGTGTATGAATCATCAAAGTTAATCCAGTAGTGAAGAAGTGCTCTGAAATTTTTTTTCTCCCAGTTCAGAGCTGCATGTCCTTGTTTGGAGCACAGAACACTGTCATGAGTCCTAACAATTTTGCCCTACTAATCCATCTCAATCCTAACCTGTGATGCTGTAGCCAGCTAGCACCAGTTGGACAAAAAGTTCTTTCTTTACGTTGGAAGAGTCATATTCAGAAGAGAAGGGATGTGGGGAATAAAGCAATTGGTCAAATGTTACCAGTGCTTAATCTGTGTCAGGGCTTGCCAGGGCTGAGCCCCAGCACCTCTAGCTTTGGCAGTTCAAAGCCCTGGCACCTCTGGGCTTGTGCATCAGTTATGAATGTAAAAAAATTGCTTGAACCCCAGCACCTCTTTCATTGTAAATTAAGCACTGAGTGCTACAACTGTAAGAATTGCAATATTAGAACACAGGACCAGCAGATGTTCTCTCATGCTTTATAGTATGTTCTCAGAGAATTTTTTGCTCAGTTCATGCTACATGCCAGAGGTAAATCAAACAATAACATCTATAATAATGCCTAGAAGCTATTGCTCCATATATGTACACTCCACTCCATCAGTTTGGAAATAGGTATACTAACTCAAAAGAGAAATTATTTTCTATGACACTAATTGCTCAACAGAGGGATTTCCTAGAAAGCAGGAAATCAGTTTGTAGTTCCTCTCTCTAGTACTGCCAAGGTCAAGAAACACAGCCATAGTTATAAAAAACTGGTTTCAGACAGACAATATGATGATGGAGGAAGGAAATATGGTTTCAGAGGGTAGGTATGGGCCAGTAAGAATTGTGGGGTCCGAGTCCCCATTAAAAAAATACTGTCAATCTTCAGCAAGTACCACATTAATGGAATCTGAGCTTATAACTCCCATTATTGTTTATGAGAGGGTAATGGATATCTCCTTACCTTTTAGCCTGAAAATTCACCTGTGATAATACAGCCCTATTCAGGTCCCTGGGACTTTAAGCCAGTTAAAAGGAAATGGATGAGATAACAATAGCAAGATTTGGCTCAAACTGAAGAGTATTCCTTTAAGGTTGATTTTTAACTTTGCACAAAACTTTTCAATGGCAAAATGCTCAATTTAATGAACTTTTCTTTTTCTTTTTTGCAGTATATTATGGCATAGTATTTGCTAGAATTTAGGTATAGAGCAACCAGAACCCATCTTCAGATGTCACGGGACAGCAACAACACCATGAAAACTAGATACAAAAGACATGGAGTTAAAGTCAAAACAAAAATGCATTCTAAAGAGAGTATGCTTCAAGCCCTTCAACTCCTTCATAGGAAAAAACCACTCAGAAAAAGAAGCACCTGGCTATCTCTAAATCAAAGCAGAGTCAAGATCTAAACTCTGATTCTCCAGAATCATAGAATCATAGAATATCAGGGTTGGAAGGGACCCCAGAAGGTCATCTAGTCCAACCCCCTGCTCGAAGCAGGACCAATTCCCAGTTAAATCATCCCAGCCAGGGCTTTGTCAAGCCTGACCTTAAAATCCTCTAAGGAAGGAGATTCTACCACCTCCCTAGGTAACGCATTCCAGTGTTTCACCACCCTCTTAGTGAAAAAGTTTTTCCTAATATCCAATCTAAACCTCCCCCACTGCAACTTGAGACCATTACTCCTCGTTCTGTCATCTGCTACCATTGAGAACAGTCTAGAGCCATCCTCTTTGGAACCCCCTTTCAGGTAGTTGAAAGCAGCTATCAAATCCCCCCTCATTCTTCTCTTCTGCAGGCTAAATAATCCCAGCTCCCTCAGCCTCTCCTCATAACTCATGTGTTCCAGACCCCTAATCATTTTTGTTGCCCTTCGCTGGACTCTCTCCAATTTATCCACATCCTTCTTGAAGTGTGGGGCCCAAAACTGGACACAGTACTCCAGATGAGGCCTCACCAATGTCGAATAGAGGGGAACGATCACATCCCTCGATCTGCTCGCTATGCCCCTACTTATACATCCCAAAATGCCATTGGCCTTCTTGGCAACAAGGGCACACTGCTGACTCATATCCAGCTTCTTGTCCACTGTCACCCCTAGGTCCTTTTCCGCAGAACTGCTGCCTAGCCATTCGGTCCCTAGTCTGTAGCTGTGCATTGGGTTCAGAAGGCAAAGTCTTATTCTTAAAATTAGCGATATGTGAATTAGAATTTTCTAAAGGTCTGGTATATCATTTTGAGAGGACAGAAAGCTGGTACAGTCAGTCTATGAGGATCAAGAGGCGGAAGCATTAGAGAAGCTATTCTCAGCTCAGTTCTTGTCTATAATGGTATATGGGGTAGTTACCTCACTGAACACAAAAGTTCCCGAACCTCAGGATAGAGATAAGGATGGTGGAGGGGAGTTCAATTGCCCAGGAACTACTTCCCCTCAGAAGTAAACAAGGTACGACGTCTGTTCCTATCCTCGTCACTCAAAGAAATTTATAAAAGCAGAATGGGTGTTTCTTAAAGAGAGCAGTTTTACAACAGTACTTAAGGTAGCTGCAACAGCAGATTTAAAACCCCTGTGGGAAGGAACCATTTTTACTTTATGCTTGGTGCTATACAATGCAATGAGAACCCAGTCCAGTCTAGGATCTGTGAGCACTACTGTCATGCACACTTAATTAGCTACTGTAGCTTCATCAGAAGGGGAGTTTCTGATGAAGGAGGCTGATGGGTACTGGCCATAAAAACCACATCAGCTTGTAGGTGTTTTACCAACTTGAAGAAATGATGGATTTATGGCTAAGGCACTGGACTGGGACTTAGAAGATCTAAGGTTGTGTCCTAACTCTGCCTCAGATTTCATATGTGATCTTGGAAAATTCATTAATGTACAGAAGGTACTACAGTGCTGAATGCCATAGGAAACTTAGAAAAATGGCCCAGATGAGCTGTAAACACAAACTGCTTGGGGAAAAAAGAGACTTTACAAAGCTGGTATACAATATTTCATTAGCAGAATCACTTGTTATGGACACTTCTCCTAATGCTCTGATTCACAATGTTTTTTCTATGCCATCTAAAATCCGCTCTTAAACAAATATGGTGGCAGCATTCATGGAAC